AAGAGTTTCTGCTTCTGTTTGCGGCACATTACTTACCAGGATTCTGTCAAAACCCCTTGCTTACTAACATCCACATTCTAGCACACTGATCCTAAAGATACATTCTGACTTACAAAGACAGGCACCAAGCCCTGTTGCTTGTCTTCCTCGATGGCTCTCTGAAGAGCTTCTCCTCGGAGTGAGAAGTTGTCGTCCACAGGCAGAAATCGCATCTTCACAAGGGAAATCAAGCCAGCCTTCTCCACTGAGGAGTGAGCCTACATGGGCCATGGAAAAGTCCATGAAAGGGCTGTCGTGAGATCAGCATGACTAAAAATGGCTGAAGACCAAGACTGAAGGAATTGAATGCCCGTGTTTGAGATTGGCATTCCTTATGGTTTCTGGAGTCAACCCCAGAACCCAGAATTCACAGGTGCAGATGGAAATTTCACAGGTTCTAAGTAGCTTACCTGATCAGAGGCGTAGGCGACGAGCCGAGCATTCAGAGAGGACTCATCAGCATCGGGCTCCAACGTTTTCATTTCTAGGATTTTGTTCTTCCTGGCTGCCAGCAGGGCAATCAAAGTGGATTCGCTGACAGTGCTCTGTAGTGGAGAGGGATTAGCAAATGTGTCAGTCTCTATGTCCTGTTGTCTAGGTTTGTTCCCATGTAGGGAGTGTGTGTGTGTGTGTGTGTGTGTGTGTGTGTGTGTGTGTGTGTGTGGTCATCATTAGTAAGGAAGTGGGGCACTCCTTCCCAGAGGGCCTCCTTTCTCCCTGACTCACATACCTGTTCTGCATTCGGAAAGTTAAGTTTGCACCTAATTTCAACAACGCCTTTCAGAGTGACTACAGAAACAAGAAAAAGATTGTTCCAGAAACAAGCAAGAGAACGTCCCATTTCTTGTGGATAGGTTTGCTCACCATGTGAAATTTATTGAAAAGAAAGAGCGCACTTGGAGCCAGAAGTACATCTCAGTAGTAGAGGCCATAGTTAGCCTACACTCTGCCCTGTGTTTGATCCCCAGCACAAACAGAATGAGAGAAAGAGGAAAAGATGGGGGGAGAGGAGGGGAGAGTTTTTTCCAGAATGGAAATAGAGTCTGATTCCACACGGACTCCCCGGAGAGCCCTGGTTTGTGCAGGGGCTGGTGATTTGGGCATGGCTTTGTTTTCAATGGTTCTTGTCAGCATGGGCTAACACTGTCCCTCTGGAAACTCATTTCTTTCTACCAAATGAGGAGTGTGCACATTAAAGGAAATGCCCCTTAAGATAGACAAGGTTGGCTGGAATTTCTCTCCAGACATGACTGTGGGGGTCCTGTGATAATCAGATGCTGAATTCATCTATTTCAAATAAGGGGATGTGGTGAAAACAGCAGCGTGCCGTGGCTGTGGCAAAGGTGGAAGCTACATGGATGGTGATGACGGTGGTGATTTGGGTGACTTAAGGGGACACTCCACGGGAGAACTGTGGGGAAGGGTTTGCCTTTGCTTCCTGGGCCCAGCCCCAGTATGAGATGGAATGCTAGCATCACAGGCACCTGCAAGACACCTCCCCCCTGGCTGCTGGGATGGTGGTGCAGGAAGTGCTCAGGGAGTCCCAGCATCTTCGCCAGCCAGTCCATGACGCTCATCTCCAGCTCCGTGCACGCTGGACTGGAAGCCTGAAAGAAGGAAAGGACTTTTCATTTTCACTGACCCACCGAGATGCCCCCACCAGCTCCAGAAACACCAGCGTCTCTGCCTCAATATCCATGGGAACTTCTGTAGAGGAGGGGTCCAGGCCAGGAGGCCCGGGCTGCACACCTCCACCCCACCCACCCTACACTCCTTTGTCAAAAAGGGAAGGAATGGGGGGGCTTTGGATCCATGCTGCCCTCAATGAGGTTGGACCTCTGGGACTCTGTGAAGAAACAATCCAGGAATGATTGCCTCGAATCTGACACTCTGAGTCTCTAAAACACCCACCTGATAATCTAAAACCCAAGGGAAAGTTTTTACTAAAAAATTACTGTGTTTTTTCCCAAGATAACAGCCCTAGCTGGGCTCTCCCCAACCTCCAGTACGCTACAAAAGTTCAAGCGTAAGAGATAAAAATGTTCCATAATGCTTTCTGGCACCTCTCAGAGCTGAGGAGAGCTTAAGGGAAGTCCCGGAGCATATCTCTAACTCTTCAGAGACAAGAGCCCAGGGGAAGTTGTGACCTAACAGGCGTCGAAGTGCTCTGTTAAGGTCACAAACTGTAGAAGTAACCAGATCTCGGTTCAAATCTCATCTGAGTCCGAATAAGCTCTGTGAATTTAGCAAGATAAATTACTCAAACCTCAATTTCCTCATGTATAAAATGGGGCCAGAACTCGTGATTCTATAGGATTAGATGAGATAATTTATATAAAGGCTAAGTTTAAACAATACAGCCATTGTAATATTTGATGTTTTTTATTTTCAATTAATAATCCATTATTAATATGTCGTCAAACACACCCACCCACCGCTTTCAGAGGTAAAGACCAGACTCCATCTATCCTGAGGTGGCACGCCCTGCTACGTCCCCAGGTGTCAGTACTTACAGGCGTCTCTACTCACCCATGTGAATCCTAAGCAGTTAATGGCATCAGCCAGCATATCTCCCAGCAGGGATGGCCAAGAGGTAAGGGCCGGATAGTAGGCGTGCATGTGGGGACTCTGCCAGTGTACCACCTAGAGACAGAGCACACACACCATGCACACAGTTGGCACCAGCTGGCATGTCCAGAAAGCTCTCTCTTCCTCTAGAGAACCTCTCCAGTAAGAAGAAACAACTCTGAAAAATGGGGGGATGCTCTTCAGAGAGATAAGTAACACAGTCCATAAGAATAAAGTGTTCATCGCTGTTCCTCCTCTCCATGTATCCCGGACTGAGCTAGCGCATCAGTAAAGGACCTTCATACCCATCAGAAAGGAGCTAGGAGACATGAAGACTGCCACAGTAACACCGATGTGGCACTCTCACATTAGCCCCACACGGATTCCCTGCTAGAAAATAAAAGGAAGCAGAAACCGTAAGGTCCAGAGAGCAAACAGCTGTTTCCTCTCAGTTCTTGCCAAAGCTGCTGTTGTTTTGTGGATCAATGAGGTCTCTGGGCAGAGAGCACCTGCTGGGAGTCAGTCAGATTTGTTCTAAACTGCCCTTTGGCTTCCCTGTGGGTAAGGAGAGGCAATGACAGACTAGCCCAGGGGTATGGGAGGCAAACTCTTGGCTAATCCTGAGCCCACAGTCAGAAACATAAGAAGGACCCAACAGCTGGGGAGGGCCCAGCCTATCGGGGACCACACACACTCGGTGACTGTTCACTCTCCCGTCCTGCTTCCACCTGGGTTTGTCTCTGAGTGAGGCCGCGTCCCCTGATTTCTCATGGCCCTCCAAAACCTATTGATTCTTAGAAAACTACCATGTTTTTCTTCATGAGTCCTTTCTCAGCTCCTACAGCCCGCTTTGATCCCTGAGCCGGAACAACACTGAGTGTAAATGTGTCCCCTACCGACAACTCACTGGAGGGCATCTTGGTGCACCGTTCTATTTTTTGTGAACAACCTTTGTAGCGCACACACTGTCCCACACCTGTGCACACAGGAGCCTCAGAGTGAGGTCCAAGGGGTAGGTAGGCTCCATGGCTTCTCCCGTCCTCACTCAGCTCCTTGCTGATGCACTGTGAAGTCTGGGAACTCAAGCTCCAAAGCCCCCTGTTTTCCTCAGTCAACTTTGAGATGCATTTGTGATTATTATTCTTAAAGGTGGTCTCAAAATACGGATACACCTCAGACCCTTATAAAACCAGGAACCTCTCCTGTACCTCCCCATCCTGAAATAAATCCTAGGACAGTTAGATAGAAACCAGCCAGTTTCAGGTGGAAACATTCGTGGGGAACTAACCACTAGGTAACAGGCACAGCGCGTCTCCCGCCCTGACTCTCGGGCAGCAAACCACTTCCTTCAATGCTCAGCAAGCGGGAGACTAGCAGGCGGTTCCAACGTCCTCCACCTTCTGTGCTTTGTCGTAGTTATCCTATTTAATTCTCACAGCATCCCCATGAGCTCCTAGGCTCATCCCTGTTTTCTTGATGGAACTGTCAGCGAGAGCTCTGTAGCATCTCACAGTCTCAAACATCATCCGGGCCCCAAGGCTGCCTGCTCCAGAATCCACCCAAACACCCCAGCGGAGCGGTAGCCTCACTGGGTTTCTGTCTCTCATATTCTTTCTTTTTAATTTTTAATTATGTTTGTGTGTGTACCTGTGTGTATCTCTGTGTGTGTGTGTATATACGCGCGCGTGCGTGCGCACGCGCACGCGCACGCGCGTCTGTGTGTATTTGTGTGTATCTGTGTGTTTTCTGTGTATGTTTGTGTGGAGTGGGGGGGTGTGGAGGTCTCAGGAAGAGTCAGTTCTTTCCTTCCACCATGTGGGTCCCAGGGATTGAAGATCCTCAGGCTTGCCAGCAAGATCCTTTACCCACTGAACTTGCGTGCATGTGTACGTGCGTGCGTGCGTGCTTGTGTGCACGTGCTTGCTTGCCTGCTTGCTTTCTCTTTTGCCCTAACTTTCTTGCCAAGATTGGAATTGAAACAAAATGAAACTTTTTCTTCTCAGCGTCTAGGAAATGGCAGGAAGGAACAGCCATACCGTTTTTCAACGTAAGTGCAAAGGGCCAGCTGCTTCCGGGCTGGCTCTTAGGGGCTGGCACGGCCTGGAAGATGAAACGGAAGATTGGGCCCTCATTCTCGCTGTGCTTAGAGACTACACATGGAAACGAGGGAAGGGGGTTCCATCCCCTGGCGCTATCAAGATGCAGTTATCAGTTCTTGTAAAATAATCAGATGAGATAAACCAGAAGAGCCCTTATCAAAGCCGACAGACCTCCAAGTCCAGAAATAAGCCTCCTTGGCCACGCCTCCCGGAAACAGTTGTGCCTCCTTCCTTCAGCAGCGGCACTAACAGTTGTTCTTGGGCTCACTTCTAATGACAGTTAGTCCCTGGGGTGACAGCGTCACAGAATGAAGTGGGTGAGATAATCTTATCGAGGAACTAGGCCTTTCAGGAAAGCTGCACTCACACTGACATTTTCCGAAGATGCTTGCGCAACAGACTTACATGGCAAACTTGCCCTTTGCAGAGAGTTTGAGCATTTTCTCGTCCTGGCTTTGAGATACATCTGTCACGTCTAAGACCAAAGCTTTTGGGAGACTGATGGGAGCAAACCCCAAGTGAACACTGGGAGGAGCTTTTAGACAGGCACAGGTCAGCACAGAATGTTTCAAGCAAAGAGACTTGGGGGACAGTGGGTTTATGAAATGTGTGTTCCCCGGGACCGAGGCCCAGTTTGAGGGGCCTCATCACTTGCCACAGAGGTGTCCGCGTATGGGGAGAAAACAAAGCATTAGATAACTCATGCTGAAATCCTGGATCTGCCACACAGGACCCGAGGCAAAGTAATAAACTTCTCTGAGCCTCCGTTTCCTTGTCTGTCAAATGGGTCACTAGGAGGATTAAATGAAACAGCTCATCACGGGCTTGTGCATCGCCTGTGTAGGGCAGGGAAGGGAACTGGGGTGATATCAGCAGAGGGACCTCAGCAGATCCACTCATTCCTGGTGACTAGGAGTGCCCTCAGAGGCCAGGGCAGTGAGTCCCAGCTCAAGTCTCCTGCATCAGCCAGGTCCCTTCCACCTGGTCCCTGCTGAAGTCACTGTCACCACAGGCTGCTCCCTCCTCCATCATGGGGCATGTTAGTAATTGCAGAACAGCTCTTTCCTGTCCCTAAGAAGCAGCTCGATGAGCAGGCCTCCCTGGTGACACACCTGGCAGCTAGGATGCTCCTGGGGCCTGGTGTTCTCGCCTTGTTCCCACCATTCGGTAAGATTTCAGAGATTGGGTAGGCCCTGTCCGTAGGGATGCAGGCACCGTCCCTGGCCTCGGCTCTCCTTCCTCGCTCCACCATTGCCCCTTTTCTTCAAACCAGTCTTCACATCTCCATCCATCTCATTAGCTAGCCACACTCCTGGGGGTGGCGCCACTCGGCTCCTCCCCAGCAGCACAGCAGGTCAGCACCGGCAGGAAAAACCTCCTTCCCGGCAGTCAGAGCCCTCCCCTTCCTAGAAGATGAGCTGTGACGTCGGGTGACAAGCACAGGAGGGACGTGTTGTCCCACCACACTGACTCATGAGGGTTACTTGGGATACCGCCCATCCCTGTTGTACCCTGAAACAAACCCTGCAGTTGCTGTATCTCACCCCAGGCATGATGATTCGTTCAATGTCCCCAAAGATGCTGTCCCAGCTGTCGGGGTCCTCGGGAGCACTCGCAGGTAGCTGGGCTCGCAGGTACCCAGGCTGCACATCTGGAGTCACCTGCCTCTCCCGCACAGTGCTCAGGTACTGGCAGATATAATCCACCATCTCTTTCCCTGGACAGAAGCAGAGGAACAGGTCATATTTCCTCAGCCTATTCAGGCCTGGCCCTCGTGGACCCCAATCCAAAGACTTGGTGAGAGGAGAGAGATTCGTGGGCCGGGTAGACCTGGTCCCCAACAGGACAAAGAGGGGGAGAGCATGAGTGAGTAATGGGAAGAACCTGTGAGAAAATAGATAAACCAAAGGGAAAATCTGCAAAACAGAAAACTTTAGCACCAAAGTGAAACATTTCTTTTCTTCCCCCTCCTTGCTGGTATGGTCTACTCTCCCACTGTTTTCTTCCCAGAACCAGAATAACTATAATTCATTACCTTAAAGGCTCACACAGAGACTCCATAGCTCTTTGAACCCCATACACACACACACACACACACACACACACACACTCTCTCTCTCTCTCTCTCTCTCTCTCTCTCTCTCACACACACACACACACAGTAGCTTACACACACTCACACACTAACACATTCACACATACACTCACATATGCACACACTCATATAATCTAAAACTAGCTCACATACCCACACATTCACACACATGAACACACACACACTAACACATTCACACACTCTCACATACACACTAACATGTACTGTGTTCTTTGTCAGCACAGAGGGAAGCTTCCATGCCCAGCTCTAAGAAAAGGCAAAAACTTCTTGTTAGACTCATTGAATCAACATTCTCATCTCTTTTTGTACTTGGTAACATCTTCTGAGTGGGATTGAAACTGTAAGTTTACACACACACACACACACACACACACACACACACGTCACATACAATTTCTGAGGTACATGAAACATACCTAAAACACAACCAGGAGCCCAGACAAGAGCTCGTGAACCAACCTGGACCCAAGATGTGCAGCCCGCAGGTCCTTGATGCTGTTCCTCCGGGCTTGTAACATGCCTTTCATGTTCAAATAAATGTACCAAATGATCGAAGACTAAATAAGGAAGAGCATTTCTGAGGGGGAGCTCTTCTTTCTTCCCTTTCACTTCTTCAGGGGTCTCCGTTTTCAGGCTCTCTCTCACACTCCCTCATCTCCCCCCACCCTTGTGTTGTGCAGCAGCTCTGAAGAACAGGAAGTCCTCCCTAAGCCCCTCTCCTCTTGTGAAGAACAGGAAGTCCTCCCTAAGCCCCTCTCCTCTTGT